GTGGATTCTTCAGCAGACTTTTCTTACAGAAGTGAACTGACTCATGCAGGTGTTTGTGGCCGGGAAAAGCTGAACTCATGTCCTTAGTGGAGCAATGTGACCTAATAATAGTCCTCTATCACCAAAAGGTGCTAGTGCAGTGTGTGTGTGTGTGTGTGTGTGTGCCTTCCTGTTGTGTTGTCAGCATTAGTATCCATATTATTCCCACAGGACACTGGGACATACAGTATTCGACCTCTTACAGCTAGAATAAAAACACATATCCACATCCACATGATGCCATGATTCGGTTCCGCTGCTTCCTGTCCGGCTTTATTTTGACGTTACTTCCTGTTTTTGTTTCACCTTAGTTTCGGTCTTTTTGCGTTCTTCATCACTCACATTGGTTTCACCTGTTTCGTTATTGTTTACACCTCTATTTAGGCAGCGTCCTCCCACCAGGACGCTGCCAGATTGTTCTAGACCCCAGCTCTGACTTTCCAGCATTTTCTTCGGTTTTGGTATTTTGTGTTTCTGACCCGGACTGTTACCTTGGTATATTCGTTTCTGCTTTGCCCTCTTGTCTCGGACTGCCACAGTGTATGATATCGGACTTCTCTCTGAACTGCGTATTTTGGATCACCTCTGTTTGATGTGTTTGCTGGCTCTGACCTCGGACTGTTAAGGACATGTGAGTTGTGTGTCTTCACCGTGTCTTGTATGGTTTTCTTTTGTTCAACGTTAGTTCTCTTAATAAAGAGACGGTTTTGTTTTACACTTCCTCGTCTGGCCATTTGAGTTCACCTAACACTTTTCGGCCGCATTACGCGCGTCGTTTCTGACACATAAGTAATGCTTAACCCGGGCTAACCACACACACACACACCATGCTAATGATTAATGGTGACCTTTCCCAGTGTTACTGTTGAATATTTTGCTGGTAGGATGCCTGCAGTTCAGTGTGTCATTAATATGTTTGTGTGGCAGTTTGTCAAAGTATTCACTAAACACAGACACACAAGCCCACATTTGTCTTACTATAGCAGTGAGGACACTCACTGATATAATGCATTGCCTAGGATCTTAACCATCATAACTAAATGTCTAACTCCAGCCCTAACCTAAATCAAATTTTACCCTGAACCCTAACTAGCCCTCAAACGGCCCTTTGAAGGACTGCCTAAATGTCTTCAGTTCACACACGCACCCATGTTAAAATTTGTTACTTACTAGGCGAGATCTTAAGCAGCAGCTGACAAATCATTGTAGTATGTGCTCCCCCACTTGTAGGAGATTATATATATATATGAGCAATATGATTCGGTCGCTCACTCAATCATTCACATGTAGTCCGCCCTCTAGTGGCTCTGAGGGGACATGACAGTAAACTGATGAAGAGACCTGAAGGGAGATAATGATGGACTTTGCTCTATGTGCCTGAAATTGATGTCAGATATAAAGGAAAGCAGAGATACTGTACCTATAGCATGTGCTTTTTCTGACTTATGTTGTCCTCAAATTAAATGGAAATTAATTTCAGGACATTTTACCCACATGCCTTTATTAATATTGCTACTCATTCAGCTGTGCAGAGACAGACAGTGGTAGGTCATATTGCTGGGAGAGGTATGCTTCTGGGGGTGGGCATGAGGAGCAGAGGAGTACTCTGCTGAGGGATTAGAATGACCAGAATAGGTTTTCAGGTTTAGATGCGCACACACACATGCAAAATATATGCACACTTTTTAACACAGGACTGCAATGCACATCTAGTTACACAGCTGTAGTCACTTAATGTCTGTGTCCTTGCTCTGCTGGTGTGTATATTTGAGTGTCTGTCTGCACACACGTATTTATACCTCACTGCCCAAAACATTAATGGATGGCCAGTGCACTGCTCTTGGTTAGTCTGGTTCAGCTCAGGAAAGTGGGTCGTGTGTGTGTGTGTGTGTGAGACTGTACTCGTATTCAGTTCTTCAGAACCTCCAACGCTGGCAACCTGAGATTACTGAAACATTCATCTGCATAGTTTTTGTACATTTTAACATGTTAATTGGAGTACAGAGTACTGACTTTGGAGTTTTTCTGGGTATGTATTTCATATATGCATTTACAATATTTGTCAGCATGCCCATTAAAGTGTCTATCTGGATGTAGATTAAACAGTTATCAGCAGCTTTTAAATCTTAATACACACAACCAAGGCTGGGATCATTTACAGATACAGTGACATACCATGAAAAATAAAGCTTTCTCTGGTCCCAGCATGCAGGGGGTAATTCATACACCCAGCCAGTTCTCTGCAGTGATAACAGGGGCTATCACCCAGCAATCTTTGTCTTTTTCTCGGCTAGGCTTGCTTTAATTCTACAGTTTTGAAAAGTTAACTATCATTAACATCAATAAATAACACAGTTAGCATAGTGACATAAAGCTTTGTCCATGCATCCAGAAAACATCACAATACTGGCTCCAAATGTTGTTAATAAAGTAATAGAAGCTTTGCACTTTGGCACGTGGACTGGAGGCACTGAGATTTGAATTCTCAGCCTTCTGGTTAGAAGACAACTGCTCTACCCACCGCACCACTGTCATAATGGCGTTTGTGTCTTAAGTGATGTCCTTAAACCTCCTCTGTGTCTGGACACGCTAGAAACTTCTTACCTGTGTGTCAGTCACTTTTTGGGGTAAAAATTACTAGCGAAAGTGTTGACTGCATTTCTTTTCTTACTGTAGAAGCATAGGCAGCTTTTTTGAGAGAATGAGCCCTCTAGTACTGAAACAATTGGTGGATTTGGCCACACGTTATCTTTTCCCAGAGCTTTCAACCATATCGCACAGTTTTCATCAGTGGTTTGTTGTCATGGAAATAGAGCTGTTGACATGCATTGTAGCTGCTGCAACGTAGTTTCTGGAATGTGTTGACTCAGCAATCCCATGCAGTTAGTCAATTATTCAAATTAATCATTGGACAGAAATGTAATTGATAGCAATTCTGATCACTAATTATTTGCGTCATTTATCAAAACTAAAATGTAGCATTTTCTAATTTCAGCATCTTAAATGTAAGACTTTTTTTTTAGTTTAACATTGTAACACTGGACCATTGGTTGGACCAAACAAGCAATTTGAAGATGGTACATCAGACTTCTGAGATCTTATG